CATGCCCGTAGTGCCGGCGGCACTTTTCGCGCGCAAGTGGCCGGTTCGCAGGCGTAGCATTTGTTCACGCGCAGTTACCGCAGTTTCTCGGCATCGCAACTATACTATATCAAGCGGAAAATCCTACTCGTTGCAATAAGGTACATATAACACTAATTCAACACTCGTTTGGAGAGGGGGTGCCACAAATGAAAAAAATCAAACAAAAAAGCCAAAAAGTAGAACATCGGGTATAAACTCGGAATAAATACAACTTACGCTGCTCGCAAGTCTCGCCAGTGTATCCAGGATCGCAGATGCAAGTACCAGTGACAGGATCACATCTGGAAAATGAGTGGACAGAATACTGAAGCGAAAACGTAAAAAGCACATTTGTAATGACGGGGAAGAAACATTTCACAAAAAAAAAATGTGAAATGGCAGAAGAAGTTTTACGACTTACTTATGACCATCAGCACATGAGCATTTTTGCGCACAGTCTTGTCCCCATTTGCCATCTTCACAACTATGTTGACAGTTGGCGCCGGATCTAGAATGAATCTCTAGGAATTGGAAGAACTGCACTAGAACCTGGACCTCCTACCTCCCAGGTGGACATTTTAGACAAGCTCCAGTCTTGGAATCGCATTGGCCAGTGTTACTATCTAGGGTACAATTTCCACAAAACTCTCGACAGCCAAATCCAAACTGTCCAGCGTTACATTCTAGAAGGAAAAGGTGTTGAAGATTTCTCAAGGCAGAGATTGTACTAACCTTGATCGCAACGATCTCCCTGTTTTCCGGGACCGCATACACATTTCCCAGTCTTTTGCTGACAGCTGCCGCCATTGCAGTCGCAGTCCATTTGACAAGAATCACCATAACGGCCATTTTCGCACTGCGACGAACAATCGGGGCCTGAACACGGAGATTGTTATGAAGCCCCCAACGCAAAAGGAAATATATCATAGAAAGGTGCAAGCTGAAGCGCACAAATGGGTGGGGGTGATCTATCTTCCGTAACGACTCAGTGGCGTCATGCGCAGCGCTGCGTGGACGCCTCTTCGCTATAGCAAAAGCGGCCGAAAAATTCGCCCTACACCAAAAAGTGCCATCGCTGAAGTCAACAATGACCATACCTTTGAATCCTTGTGTGCATTTGCATTCTCCAGTAAATCTATCACATTCGCCTCCATTCTTGCAACGGCACGCGATCGCGCAGTGTGGTCCATAAGTTCCAGCTGCGCAGGGAGTGTCGCATTTCGCTCCCGTCCAGCCTAAAGATTTATTTGATCTCTTACAATGTAAGGATCAAAGTACAAAAGATAAAGTAAAAGCCTAACGAAATGAAAGCCACAGAAAAATTACCTGCGGCACAGTGGCAATCGCCTGTGACAGGATCGCACCCTGCTCCGTTGCGACACTGGCAAGCGGCACATGATTCACCAAAATGGCCGGCTGGACAACTTATCGAGCACGTGGCTCCATGGAAACCTACGAATTCAATACTAAATTATTTGCTGATTCGACAGCAAAAAATTGAAAATAAAATTGATTCTACTGACATATCAGAGAATGGGCCCTTTCGCACACCTATACCGTATGCTACCGTAACCATGCAGTATAATATCGACTGCTGGTCGAGAGGCAAGACTACTATTGTACCAATGTACTATAATTTTAAATTAGCAACTTTGGAGACTACACCACGTGCAGTCTACAAATGCGCACCTTTTCCCGCGTCATATGTGAGCTTACGGTAGCATAGTGTAGCGGTGCAAAAAGGGCGCTTGATAAGAAACAAGATGGAAAAATCCATAGTTTCACAGATTGACTCACCATTTCGACACTTGCACGATCCATTTCTTTTGTCACATACACCATTTTCACCGCACTGGCACTTGAAAGCACAATCTAGTCCAAAATATCCGTCCGGACATTCGTCAGCGCACCTGCAAAAGTGCTTGAGACGTTTAGGAAAAACAAGACATAAAATAAAAGCGAAAAACTATTTGGAACGCACTTTTCTCCAGTCCTGCCCGGTAAACATATGCATCTACCAGTGGTCAGATCGCATTCGGATGTGTAGTTATAGTTACACTCACATGTGTTTGCACAGTCTCGTCCTAGAACAAGATTTATACTGCTAAAGCGCTAAAGTGATTGCTGAAATTGTCCGGACTCACCCCAATTGAGCTTCGAACAAATCTGCTCGCATGAATCTCCAACGTAGCCAGGTTTACATCTACAGTAACCCGTGTCAGGAGCACATCTGGAGGTGAAAGTATGAAAACTTCTTGCGTTATACTGGTAGCTGAACTCACGATTCAGTATTTTCCATCACACATGTGCACTGTTTCGAGCAGTCCAGACCATACATGTCTTCTTCACAAACTGAAAAAAGGAACCGTCAGTTAGTCAGTTTAGTTTCAAAGGGGTATATTCG